ATTGCTGATTGCCACCCCCACCCCCCAGAGAAATGGAAATCGGATCTGGTAGAATGTTATAATCTTGAGAATGCACATGAAGTTGCGAGTTTGTAATTGAAGCGTTGGAATCAGAGGGGTTTCAACCTTACATACCGGTTTAGGTGGCGCAGAGAATTAATTCATATTCTTCTTTCAGAGAGTTCGAAACTAGGTGGAGAGAGGATTTTTGACACTACTTTCATAGGGCAAAATTAGGCGCTGTATGGGGGAGAACTATAACGGCCGAATACTATTCTCGATAGTTTTCCGTGGTTTCTACGATGAACATCAGGCCAATGCCTGAGCATGCTCTAACAAATGGGTCACGGACTACACACGATCTTTCTTTCTTCTTCCTCACTCTATCCTCATTCGTTACTTGAACACACTTGAATGAAGTATACTACTTCACCGGGAAACTGGTCGAGAACTTAGAGCTTGCCCCGGCTCGATTGAGCAGCCTGGAGGACGATTCCTGGCTTAGGAAACCCCCGCATGCCCACGGGCAGTTTGGCGTTGTACCTCGCCATTCAGCGAGAAAAGATCCCCACCACCGTCCGCGATAAAACATGCACTACGTTTACGGGACTGCAATCTTAGCGGTCGACACACCCGGAATAGCTAATATATCAATCGAGTTACATCTGTAACATGTACTTCGACTGAATCGATGAGTTACATTGCTGAATTGACTGCAAGCTCTGCTGCTTTTAACATGCTAGCTCCACTGCTCGGAAGTTTCCTCTGTTTGAATCCACACATATGGCAGACTTCAGCCTTAAATCGCGACCCACTAACAGAGCGTGATGCTTTTCTGTCGCGTCCACTCTCCGCTTCCATCCTTACAGGCCCAGTGATGGGCCAATCCCCCACACTCGAATGACCCCCACGCCTTATTCGTTCAGACAAATCGCCCATAAGCGACGGAGAGCCGGAAAGGAGCGACCGTCCTTTTAATATAGAATATAAATAAAGTGCGACTTTATTCTCTTTGCTAAAGGGTGCATTTTTGTTGCCAAAATTGCAGTGGAACGCTAATCACGGAGAGATTAAAATAACAGTACCCTATACAATGTGAGACAAAATTCTTGCACTCGTAAAGTTATTGACGATGGAACAACCGATTTAAGGCGAGAACAGAAAGTTTTGACGGAAAATAAAAACAGGCGGAAGGCAATGACAAGCAGTGAGGATGGAAAGTAAATTCGGGTGGACTTTCATTCACTACTCATACTCACTGCCCGTCTTCACTGCCCGTCCTCAATTTGTATGCTCTTTGTCTGATAGTGTCACTCCTTCCTACATGTCTCCCAAATGTAGGAACCAGTCGACTGTCGTCGCCCCTATTCAATGATACAAGAAAGTTTACGTTTGTTTGAAACTCATAAACAACGCAAAATGCTTTTAAAACATTTTTTGAATGTATACGAGGTTTTACTCAGCTTTATTCACTTAGAATACTTTTGTGCCTCGTTAATGAAGCTCTACTTAAACTCTTGTTACATTAAGTATAAGTATTACACTCGATGTATTCAGGAATAAACAAAAAAATTCCAATTCATATTACAAAGATGACAAAACATCTCATAAATGGAGTAAACATATGTAACGGAAATCATGCTAATTGCAAGGCAATTTTCTCTCTTTATTGTAGAGATCAATGTGAAATAAATGTTCACCATGCACGCAATTTTGAACCTGTAAATTCTTTCAATTCTTATCAGGCAGCTGTATATATTATTTCACACTCTACCCAACAACGCATGCTCTTTGTCGGAAAGCTTACGTAGTTGTCTTTAGCGCTCAGCTGTTCATCACAGTGAAAATCACTCATATAATATTTTTTCATCCCATCAATTCAAACATTCGTATGTTAACAAAATATTAATAACAATATGCTACCCACGCTTATAAAATCCACTTCCTCATTACAACACACTGAGGAGGCAAAAGTTGTGGGATATTCCTAATATCGTATCGCGCCTCCTTTTGCCCGGCGAAGTGCAGCAATTTGACCTGGCATGAACGCCACAAGTCCTTGAAACTCCCCAGCAGAATTATTGAACCTCTATAGACGAACATAATTGCTCTCTCTTCTATAGACGAACATAATTGCGAAAGAGTTGCCAATTCAGAATTTTGGTCATCTCTCGAATATGACCAATATGTGTTAATTGTGATTTATGTCGAGCAATCTGAATGGTGAAATCATTCGCTCGAATTGCCAAAAATGTTCTTCAAACTAATCGAAATCAATTGTGGCCCGGTGACAATTAAAATTCCGTCGTTATTTGGGAACATGAAGTCTATTAATAGATGCAATTGGTCTCCAAGTAGCTGTACATAATCATTTCTAGTCAATTATTCGAATAATTTGCATGAGATGACCTAGTCCATTCAGTGTAGAAACAACCTACACCATTACGGAGCCGCCAACAACTTGCATAGACCCTTGTTGTCAACTTGGGTCTATGGCTTCGTGGCAAGTGTGGTACACGCGAACCCAACCATTACATCTTACCAACTGAAATGGGGTCTAATCTGACCAACAATAACCTATTTTTCAGTCGTCTCGAGTCCAAGAGACGCGCTGCAGGCGATGTCATGCTGTTAGCAAAGACAATTCTGTTGATAGAACTCATTAAAGCCAAATTTCAGCGCACTGTTTTGGGGAATACATTCGTCATACGTTCCACATTGATTCCGGCAGTAATTTCACGCAGAATTCTTTGACAGTTATCACAGACAACAATACGCCAACGCTGCTGCCCACAGTCATTTAGCCGTCCGCCATTGCATTGTCCGTGGTGAGAAGTTATGCACAAAATTAGGTATTCTCGCAACTCTCTTGACACACTGCATCTCGGAATATTGAATTCCCTAACGATTTCCGAAATGGAATGTCCCATGCGTCCAGCCCGAACTGCTCAAACTCCACGTTGCAAGTCTGTTAATTCCCGCCGTGTGGCCATAATCACGTCAGAAAACTATTCACATGAATAAATTGAGTACAATGAAAGCTTTGCCCTTAAACTGCCCTTTTTATACCTTTTTACGAGATGTTGTGGCTTCTTTATATTTGCATATTGCTATTCCATGGATTTTGTCACCGCAATGTATAATTGAAAACTACATTTTCTTCGTACGAAAATCAGCCCTATGATTCCATTGTCTAAGTATAACATGCTAGACCTTGGAAACAAAACTCTTAAATCTGCTCTGCGGAAGGTCGCCTCATCGTCAGTACAGAGAGGACGAGATGTGACCTCGATAAGTAACCTATGAACAAGAAAATAAACACACTTTCTTGCTGATAAGGAGTAAATGTACCCACTCCTCTGACTTGATTGGTATTCTGAGCTCTAGAGAAGCCTTTTACTTTTTCATTCATTAATAAGAAAAGAAAGTGGCAAAATGTATCAGAAACGAATCCCTACAGAACGTATATACACCACAGAATGAAACGGGATTTTATATGAAAAGTAATTCTGTCTTCTGGGTTTCTGACCGGGAGTTTCTCAAGGTCGAGACACGAGAGTCGCAGTTTTTTTGACACTAGCTAAGGTTGCCAGATCGCATTCAGCTGATGTCTGGAAGAGCATTCTAGAGGAAGGCTGCTTTGATACATACTGCGTGGTTTTTTTTACCAATACCAGCCAAATACCGAAGCAGTACCCTAAACATTTGGCTACAGATCGCGTGCGATATCCCTTTTCTTATCGTTGATGCCCTCCTCTTCTTTACATCTACACTTACATGCACTACACACAATGTTGGGAGGTCAGTCTGGAGCTAAGAGCTTGTATCGACTGAGGCGGTGTCCCACTGGAGAAGATATCTAGAGAGAAAAATGTCCGTAATCCGTTGTCTAGATTTGCGCTGGATCTCACGATCTACCGGCCGGGAGTCCTGCCAGTTTTTTGGGCTGTAGCATGTACTACATTCAAGTGAATGACTAAAGACGTTGAGGTGCCCAGAAACACGAAATACTCGAGTTTTCTGCCATAATTACACAATTCGGAAGACGCGTCCATCTCAACTAACCCCTTGTCATTGGAAGGGCAAAGAAACTCTTTTCTACCAATATGGGAACCACCACATAGTTTCTTTTACTAAGTGTTTTATGCAGTGATATTTGTAGGAAATGATCATTTGTAGCACCCCTTACAGAATGGAAAAGAAGAGATAATTTTCATCTTTACCGTCTTTATCCCCAGAAGTCAGAAACGTATTTTCCTACTTCGAACACATCATTTAAAGTTAGTAAGCACGTCTATTTTCTTCCGCATAATGCACAAGTAGCATAGATCTCATTCGAAACTGCAATTTTGTTTGCTTCACATAATGTTAAGAAGATAATAATAATAGGATTTATAGTTGGTTGTGTTTCGGTCCATCTATAAATTTCTTTTTACGAAATAGAGTGAAATGTGCCGGCCTGGTCGTTAAGGTTGAAGAACAGAACCTCGTGCCTGAAAAGTCGCGGGTTCGAATTCAGCCCGGAACATGGGTATATGTGTGTATCCGAATACAAGTGAGCGAGTTCCGTTACCATTTCCTTAATTGCCAAAGTTACTGAACCAATGTTAATTACAGTGGTCGCTGTATGACATTAGTAGTTGAAAAATGACCTTAAATAAGAAAAAAAATTAATTGCAAAGCAAAATAGAAGCAATTGCACGCGTTTTACTTGCATATGAAAGAAAAAGTGAATGATTATGTTTCAATGTTGATATTTTGCATGACAAATGTTTAATTCTGTACATACTTAATTTACAAATATTCAAATTTGTTCGAATTCCAAACATTTACATGGTTACTTTTATGTCGAGACTTTTGCTTATATTAGTTTATTTTGAACTTTTCTTGTAGTAAAGACCACCTTTTTTTCTGTTGTTTATTCTGGAGATCAAACACTTTTCCCTAACAGATAACTTTCATCAAGAACATTTATATGCAATTCGAATTCAAGGCCGCAAATGAGCCTTGACTTAGAACCTTGGAGAAGAAAGAACCAAGGGCATGAACTGGAAGAGTGGTATGATAAGGTGAGTCAGAGAAGTACTTGAATGTTTCAAATGCACTTATCGACAAAGGCTACCTAATGTAATAATTTTTGTACTCAGAAGGAATTTTTCATTTTCCCAATTTCATAAGCGTCGAATCCCTTTAGATGGTAAATGCCGAGAAGTCTACGCATAAAAGTCTTGACATAAGAAGAGTCACGTGGATGCCATTGAGAATTACACAAGATTACCAGATTACGGTAAACAGCTAAGCTAAACAACTGATACGTAATTTTCGACAAACGTCTAAGTACTAATCATGGGCTTTTGTTCATCACTTCCTTACCTTTTAATAACTTAAATTTATATACTAAATTAATTGATAATGTTTTTGCATTTTCGAACGACTATTTACATTTTTGCAGTAAATATCAGGAGAATTCGGAACGCCGCGCAGGTGTCGAGAGATCTAAACTCGAATTTAAGAGTTTCGATCTTAGTTTGAAGCTGGCCTTTTTCTTCATCTTCATCACAACACTAACTTAACTAATCTTATGGAGAAACGTCTTCATGCAGAATGAATCAGATGAAAATGATCACTGGAATAAGGAAGGAGGGTAGAATGGTGCTCTCTGTAAAATGAGGAAAAAATATTAGCGATCCATGTTCCAAAAATGTAAAAATCAAGAGAGTGGGATTAGTCGTAAGGCCCAACTTATATCTTGCAAGTGTCCAGAAAAAGGAAAATATTTCTCTACGAGAGAGAGAAATATCATTATCATCATCATCATCATCATCATCATCATCATCATCATCATGGGTTGAGCCTGAATATCCTTCCATCACCTTATTGGTCTGCCTATACTTCTTCTTCCTGTCAAGTTGTAGCTATAGAGGATTTTTGGCATTCGATCGTCAGGCATTTCCATTAAATGATCGTGCTAATTATTTCTTAGTGTGTCTATTTTTTCAGTTCAGTTGAAGATCTTTAATTCGTCTCTGATGTTACAGAATTGAATTACCCGTCAAAAGCCTAAGAATTCATTCAAGAAAGTCTATCATTTTCGCGGCTTCTATTTTTCTCTTATCTGTTCTATTGACCCAATTTAGACATCCATAGGTTATAATTGGAACTGCTATTGTTTTGTAAAATATAAGTTTGTACGTGTTTTCTGTCTGAGGGTCTTTCGTAGAGTTACGCACATTTTCTGAAATTTCTGAATTTGTATGAAATTATTTTTTGATACTATGAAAAATTGCAACCGAAGTAGTTGAAGTTATTTACTTGTTCAACACCGGTACCATTAATTACTATTTTACACCTTAAATTATTTTTACCCTAGAATGCCATGCGGTTGCCACCTCACTGTAGTGAGGTGGTTAGGATTGTTATAGTTTGTAAAATGTAAAAACTGAAGTGGTAACTAATATTCTCAATTGTTTCTAAGACAGCCTAAAATAAATAAAATTTAAAAAAAATGTTTAGGTCAAATGAAAAATATGGATTGAAAATATTTACAGAAATGAAATGTTTTATCGTTTACGGCAATGGGGTCCCTCCGAAAATGTTGGGGAAGGCCAGGGCCTCCAGCGCACGCCTATGAACCAGACTGTTCCTACTTTCGCCGCGCCACTAAGCTCGTTCAGAGCATAAGTTCACCACTACACATGATTTTGTTCTTACCAGGTCGCCTATAGGGTTCTACACGAACTGAGCATTCTTCGAAAAAACAGCCGATTGCCGCTCGGTAGACTGATTGATTGATTGATTGACTGATTGACTAATTGATTGATTGTTAGTAATGCCGGGTGCGTCAACTACTAGGGTCATTAGTCTCGTCCGTGTAGGGCACGTTTTTTTTCTCACGACATGGCGATGGTCTTCCCCCGCTGGATGGTGCGATCAGGCGCCGACCTACCGTCGGCTAGCGGGGTTTTCCCCAAACAGTTATCTCCCATCAGCAGGGCACCGCCCCAGCCGGGACAAGCTCTAAGTTCCCGGCCGGTCTCCCGACATGTGTGGTAGTGTAGAGCATGTTAGTGTAAGCAGTGAGGATAGGAAGATCGCGCGCGGTCTGTAGCCCGTTTGATAGGGTACTGCTCCGGCATTCGCCTGGTGTTGATCGGAGACACCACGGGTTGAAACTACCAATCAGAGCAGCCGGTCGCGAGAATTCTCCTTTAGAGCCGCGGATAGCGCTCACGAGTCCACCGCTAGGGGCAGGTGACGCGAGAATTTTTTTCTTTGCTCCAGAAGCACTTGGAAAGCTCTAGTGTCTACACTAAGTGTATGTATGTATGTATGTGTGTATGTACGTATGAATGTGCAAGTATGTATGTACGTATCTATGTATGTGTGTATGTATGTATGCGTGTATGTATGTACGTATGTGTATATATGTATGTACGTATGTGTGTGCATGTATGTATGTACGTATGTATGCGCATGTATGTATGCGTGTATGTATGTATGTACGTATGTGTATATATGTATATACGTATGTGTATATATGTATGTACGTATGTGTGTGCATGTATGTATGTACGTATGTATGTGCATGTATGTACGTATGTATGTGTATGTATGTACGTATGTGTGTATGTATGTGTGTATGTATGTGTGTATGTATGTATGTATGTAAGTATGTGTGTATGTATGTGTGTATGTATGTGTCCATGTATGTATGTGTCTATGTATGTATATATCTGTCTATGTGTCTATGTATGTATGTATGTATTTATGTAAGTATGAACTTGGCGCGACAGCCATTGAACGGGCTCAGGCCTACCGGCGACGTCCCTGCCTCGCAGCCATGGGTTAAGGTAGTACTACATGTGGTTGCATGTAGACATCCTCACGCCGTATTCCGGTCTTCTCAATCTGAGAAGTGGATTTTCTCATCGTCACACAGCAATATATACTTGGATATTGCAAGGAAAATGCACACTATAATATTGACTCGACCGTGAATCGAACTCGGGCCGCGTAGTAGAAAGCGAGCAGGCTGACCAAGAGCTAGCCACAAGTCTTTCAATATTAATTACTTCAAAAAATTTAAAACCTTCCACTCCTTCCCCGCTACCGGAGTCTAAATTCGTTTCCAACGGCTGTTTGAAAACGTTTCAAACTTCGCTCTCAATATGGCTGCGAACCGCGTCTGGACACAGGCGTTGAACGTTTCCACATATTTCCATAAACACTTGTACTTTTGTTGTATCTTGGCAGATAAAACAAAGTACATTACTTTTATACCAATATGCGGGAACCATAGTCATTTTCTTCGTATTTGGCGACGCTGATGGATGAAGGTTACTTCTGAAATACTTGCATACATAATTGTTTTAATTCCAATTGCTGTTGTAATGGCCATGTAGGAATAAGTAGTATGAAGTGAGGGATCGAGAAAAGTTTCCTTGATTTGTAAATGCAATTGAAGACATTAGTAAATATAATTTGGAACTCAATACATGGATAATCGTTTCTTCGTAAGCACACTCAGATCTTTTGGGACATTAATGAGCTGCTGAGATTTAACACGGATTCCACGAATATAATTTGATTATTCCTTCCCAATACAAATAGCAAACATGAAAACTACGAAAAACTACGAAACACTGTGTGAAACGAAGATAACATACTGCAAATAGTTTTATATGATGCAAATGATGAATGAGAGAGTTTATTTAATTATGCACCAGCGATCTCGGACTGAAGGATCGTAGCTTCGAGTTCCGCCGCGGGCATGGTTTTATTTGCGTTCGTCCTTGCACCTCCTACCATCACCATATCATGTCATCTTCACAGTTACCATAACGTTCAATCCAATAGTGGTCGCTAATGACCTAGATGATGATGCAACCTTAAGTAATTAAAAAAAATAATTATTAAGAAAAGAACGCAAACCCTTCACAAATTTGGTTGTGTTCGTTCCAAATTTTGCCTGAAATGGTTCATAAATTTAAATCATACCTGTGTGCATCGCGTCACGGGGTGTTCCAAAGGAAACGTTATCGCTACAGTCTCAGGAATGCGACTAATTGCCTCTCGATTCGGGGATTCCCAGACACATTTGCACATAATTTACACAATTCCTAGTAGGTGGGTAACAGAGTTTCTATAAAAATCCATTTCTAACAGTTTTTACAGAGCTGTGATTTAAGATCTCACCTGCTTGTAGAGGTTCAGTTAACTGAAAGAAGGAACATAATAATTGATGCTCTTTTAAAAAATACATTTTAGGAGAAATGAAATTTCATTTTCTAAACATCAAATATATTAAAGTTACTCCGTCTGTAAAGTCCGAATATGTAAATGCTATGTACTTGCTACGAATTTAACGTGCGGACTAAAATAAACGAAATCTTTAATACAATAAATACGATAACTCTTTACAGAGCTTAATAAGCAAGAACATGATTTGCCTATTTTTTCCATTACTAACGATAATTGTGTAGCTATCCATGCCTACCTAATAGTATTAAAAAATTGCTTACACATTACTTGCACATTGCATTCCAATTCGTAATTTTTACGCATTAATTTTACACAATTTAAAAAAATCCTTCTGCTTGGTGTTTGATTTTTTCTTAGAACTATAAATCTTAGAACAAATCAATGAAAAGATACGAAACGTTGTATTGTCGAGATTCTGTCACAATCCTTAACATGATTCTCGTAGGCATGTAATGATTTGGAGATTTTTTCCAGATAAGATATTATTCTGATCAAGGTCCAAAACAAATAGTTACATTACAATTTTACCCTTTCTTTGGCGATGAGTTGGCGGTGTAAGAGTAAATTGTAATTACGATACACCATAAAATGTGGTAGCAACGACACGTGACTAAAAATAATTAAACATTATTTATATGCTAAAGAGTTTTGTCCTGAGCCAATGGAATCAACCTCACGACAAACACTAAATATTTACAACATTAACATAATTCGAAACATTAAAACAATAAACAAGAAGAAATTAGATATGTTGGAATGATATTAGATATGTATGGAATATGGCCAATCAAAATTTCTAATCTGTTCT